CCATGCACCGCTGGCTAATGTCTTTCGTCCTCTGTTTGCCGGGACTGGCTTAGTCCCGACTGTCTCTGTGGCATGGTCAGGCCCCTTGGCCCCTCTGGGTTTCAGCTTCTTCCTCCATCAAGTGAGAGGTTGGGCTAGCTGACCCCTTACTCCTTCCAGGCTGGGAGTTCTATGGTTTTTGCCCAACGGCCTCTAAAAGGGACCTGAAGTCTGGATTTGGATTGCAGAAGCGTTTTGTTGGGTCTGCAGTGAATTCATGGCAAGCCTTTAAAAATGGGAACTTTCACATAAAAGTTTTAGGCTTCTGGCCAGAAGGCGGCTCTGGAAGTCTGCAAAGCTACAGGTGCCGTTGATTACGGGGAGCTGCATTTAGAGGGGCCTGTGCCTTCCTGGTCATGCAGCCCTACTTCCCTCACCCCCTCGCCCCCCACTTCCTCCTTCACTTCTTTTTGCTGCCTGTCTGGGTCCTGGAGGCATCTCAGATTACAACCCTTGACTTCACCCCTCTGGATGCTGGCACATGTGTGTTCCCTGTCCCCTGGCACATATTAGTGTATGTGGGACTTGGCTAGTAGTAGTGATGAAATCTGATATGTGGCAACATGTTACAGAGGACCAAACACTTTTACCTGCAATGTCTCATTTAACCGTCAGACTCTCTCTGGGAATGTCATCTGTTTATGCATCCTGGTGGGTGTACTGATAAGGAGACCTACGCTCTGGGTGGCTCAGCCCCTTGCCCAAGATCAGCTGGAAAGGGGCAGAGCCAGCTCCTCATCTTACCCTCTTTCCACAACTTCTCGTGTTCTCTGCCTCAGTGTCCCCATTTCTAACATTGTTTTCCCCGTTCTGTCATGGGGTGCTGACTTAAGAGTATGGGGTTGGACGTGAATTGTCCTTGGCTTTATGGTAGGGGGGAGGGGAGGATTCGCAGGGGTGGGACTGGGGGTTAGGCAGGAGTGGCTGCAGCTAAGAGGTGGTGATTACACACCTGACTCCCCAGATGCCTGGAGTGAGCTTCACAGACCTGCAGACAGCTCCTCCGGGGACTGAGTGGAGCTTGTGGTCTGCCAACAGGCCCCTCCCCCCCACAACCCCCCGGGATTCGGGTTGGGCCCTTGGAAATATCCACCCCTCCAAACTGGCTTCCTAGGTGGCCACCCACTACACCTGGCTCCCAGAGTTCCTGGGAGGGCATCTGATGCTTTGAAAAAGCTCTTCAGAAGCTAGCTTGAGAGGAAACTCCTTGGTGTCTAGAACCTGAACTTGAGAAGGTGAAGGGAAGAGCCCGTGGTGGGAGGCCTCGGGTCGCCATGCATCTTTTTGCCTCGGGAAAATGGAAGAGCCCGTCTTGAGCGTTAGGACCTGGAGATTGGTTCTGTGTATTAAGCCAGTCCCCAAAGCAAGGAACCCCGTCCCTGCCAAGAACCTGCCCCAGACTTCCCTGGGTCATTGGCATGGCCGTCGCTGTCCCTGATGCCCCTGAGGCGAATGGTGGCTTTGAAATAGCTGCCGTTGATCTGTCTGCCCCTCTAGGTGAATTACAAGAAAGGCTTTGAACGCTCAAAGGCGCAGTTCCATCTGCCGTTGGACATGGTCACCCTGGTGCATGCCAAGAAGGCTCAGAGCCTGGCCAGCGACCAGGACTACAGACACCCGCTCCCCCAGTACACTTCCTTGGCGGAGGACCTGAGGCTCCGCTGTGCCAAGAGAGCTCACAAGTTGCAGAGCGAGGTAAGGAGACCTGGCCCCTCTCTCCCAGGCTCTTTCCTCTCCGATTTGCCCACAAGGCACTGACCTGGCGGCTCCCTTTGGCTCAGTGGGGGCCTCCAGAGAAGGGATACCCAAAACCTGGGGTTTCTTTGAAAACCCCCCTCCCCCCATGTTCCTACCTCGCTCTTCATAGAAAGCACAGCTGCACAGATCTCATAACAACAACCATCTATGGAGTGTTTCTGCTGAATTCCGAGCCTGGCGTTTTCATGCATTATCTCATTTAAACCTCAAAATGACCCTGTACTAATAGTCTTGGTCCCATTTTACAGAGAAATAATAGTGAGGCTGGAAGGAGTCGCCCAAGGTCACGTGGCTGTACACGAGCAGGGGAACTGAGCCTGGAAGTGCATTCGTGGCTCACGCCTCTTGTTTTCTGAAGCAGTCAGGCCGGGGGGTGCCGGGGGTGGCGAGGGGAAAGAGGAGAGGGGATCTCCTCCCCCCCAAGAAGATACAGGACATCTCAGCAGCCTCCTTAGCTTGCCGGGCTCTCATGCGGTGAGATTTGCATTAACGGACCTGTGTCAGAAAGGAAACGGCTCCAGCCTGGCTTCCTGGTGTGGCGGGGCCTGCCAGCCCAGCAGCACTCAGATCTGGGTATCTGTCGTCTGCTCAGATTTTAGGCCCGTGTGCGGCGCTTACTGAATGACAGAAGCTGTCAGGAACCGCAGAGCAGCTGTAGGGACGGGGAGCTGCCAGGCTCAGCTCGTGGGCCCTTTGTCACTTGAGCACAGTCCGCGCTGGCCCCACCTCTCCTCCTGATAGCGATTTCAAGGCAGCGCGCCCAGCGGTACCTAGGTGGCTAAAGGGGAGTGAACTTGGGGGCCCTTTAAAGTGTCAGCTCACATCACTGAGGTACCCACATGTGCCTTATTCAGCAGACTCAGGCAGGTCTTTGCGACAATCTTCTGGACTCATTCATTAGTTCTTTCTTAACCTTTGATTCATTCGTGCCACCCGCTGCCACTGGGTTTTGTTTTAGAAGACCTGTCAGACCATTTCCACGTTTGCCCCAAGTCGACTGACTTTCTAACCACCATCCGCCCCAGCGTTTATTTTCCTAACGAGCATTTACTAAGCTGTTGGCTGAGTATGAGACACCTGGAGAGACCGGTTTGGCCCTGAGTGCCAGCCACAGTGCTGTCGTGTCCCGCGTCCTCTGGCTTCTCTCTGCTCCTTTGTTCTGCAAGTTTGGCTCTTCTCATTCCTAGTGTTGTTTTTTGTAGAATGAGTACCGGTCGGACTTGAACTTCATGCGAGGGGTGGCCTGTGTCATTCCAGGCACGTTAGAGATCGAAGGAAGAAAAAGAGCGTCTGAACTCATCAGTGAGGTAACTGGGACTGGAGGGGTGAGGGCTGTCAGTATATTTCTACAGCAGAGGTTGTTGCATACCCATCGGGTGTTTTTTGTTTTGTTTTTAAATATATTTTCATTGAATTCAGAGGAGAGAGAGAGAGAGAGAGAGAGAGAGAGATCAGTGATGAGAGAATCATTAATTGGCTGTCTCCTGCATGTCCCACAATGGGGATCGAGCCCACAACCTGGGCATGTGACCTAACTGGGAATTGAACTGTAACCTCCTGGTTCATAGGTCGACGCTCAGCTACTGAGCCATGCCGGCTGGGTACCATCTGTTTGTTGTTACTGTGAAAGTGAGTTTTATGTTCCACTGTTAACATTGGTGACTAGCCGCTAACCTCTTGCCCGGCTTCTCTTCTTTGCACCGGATTCTCCATTCAGACCAAATGCCATTTAAGACAGCTTTGCAGATAGCGAGTCAGTTCCGTTGTGAACATAAAAGAATTATTCACACTTCACTGACTCATTAGATGTATCTCCCGGTGTCCTTTTGGAGATTAGCGCTGTGGTGCAGTGTAAACAGGGTAGGCTTTAGAGACCAACAGCTGGAGGCTGAAATTCCACTCATTTGCTGTGTGACGTCAAGCCAGTCACCTAACCTCTCTGAGCCTCAACATTTTAATCAGCCAAATGGGGATACTATTATGACCTTTGTTTAGTTTTTGTTAGGATTGGGACTCATCTAAGCTCGGTGCTTCTCTGGTGGCTGTACATGAAATGGTTGCTCTAAGCTGGGTCATAGTTTCTTGGTAGAATTATAGAAGGTTAGAATTCTAAGCTCCTTGAATCCTAAGGAACCTTGCTCGCCCTTGAGAGGGCTTTGGGACTTCTATTCATGGTAGATCAAGGACAGGAGGGCATAATGGAAGGCCCTGGAAGCAAAGGGTGGTCAGTGGCCAGCTTGGGTAGTATTAGATGGGCTTATGGCTTGCTTACACCAGCGGAACTGGCCAAAGTTTAGATTTAACTTTGTGCTTTGCTTTTCCAATGAAATCTCCAAAACAAGTGGTTTCTAAACCTTGTGGTGCATTGGAATTCTCATTGGACCCAGAGCCTTGGGTCCACTGCCGGTTTACTGAATCCTGATCTCTTAGGGTGGGTGCAGGCATATGTACAGGTGTTTCTGGTATGTTCCCAATGCTGAGGAGCCCTGGATTTATAACGAGCAAAGGTTGGGAGCAGAACTGGAATTTCAATAGTCACGTTCACATTCATAGCAAAGGGCTAGCTCTCCCTTTCCCGCTGGTTAAGCGCCTGATTCGGTCTGTCCTATGCTCCTTTCTGCTCCTCCATCCCATTGAATTCTGAGGCCATAAGAGCAAATGACAGACTAGATTCCAGCTGACAGACTACCAGCCTTTGCAAAAAGAGGTTTTATCACCAGTGTTTCAAGGGCTGGTTCTATATCTTACCACGTCTTCTTCTTGTGTGTGAATTCAGAGCAAATACCGTCAGCATCCCCAGTCATTCAAGTACACAGCTGTGACCGACACCCCCAGCCTCCTTCAAGCAAAACTCAGCAACCAGATTACGAACGAGGTAAAGTCTCCCCCTGATGGCTTTGGAACGGGCTTTGGAGAAACTGCTAGATTGTTTAAAAAATATGTGTGACTGTGTGTGGGTTTGGGGAGCTGGTGGAAAGCCTGGGTGTTTGCATGGAGGTTTAGGAGAAGAGAACGCCATTATACAGAGCTTAAATATTTCCCCGAAGGAGAGGACGCCCAGGTGGAAATCTGGTTGTCTTTCGTCTCGTCCAAGTGCAATCGCAGACCAGCGAGCAGCATCTGCATCTCCCGGGAGCTTGTTAGGAATGCTGAGCCTCAGGCCCCACCCCAGACCCACTGACTGCGTATTAACCTTTGAGACGTGCTGGTGCGCCATTCATTTGTTCTGTCTCAGCAAATATTGGCTAACCGCTTTTGTAGCGCCATTCTGATGGTTGTCATGGGGGGATTTGTGGTGAGCCAAGGATAGTCCTAGAGCAGTGATGGTGAACCTTTTGAGCTCGGCGTGTCAGCATTTTGAAAAACCCTAACTTAACTCTGGTGCCGTGTCACATATAGAAATTTTCTGATATTTGCAACCATAGTAAAATGAAGACTTATATTTTTGATATTTATTTTATGTATTTAAATGCCATTTAACAAAGAAAAATCAACCAAAAAATGAGTTCGCGTGTCACCTCTGACACGCGTGTCATAGGTTCGCCATCACTGTCCTAGAGTATGTTATTTGTCAGACTTCTCGAATTTCTACCTCGCCGTGTCTTCTCACTCATCCTTTACCCAATTTACACTTTAATACATCTATTGGAGTGGGAACCAAGGAAAGGAATCTCATGTTAAACCATCTTTTCAATTCTGTTTCTTCTTCGTGGCTGCCGGACAAGCTTGAAATAGAAAGTGAACTTGGCAGAGAATTAAATTTTGCATCATCTTTAGTTTTTAAGATTCTGCCCCTGACTCTATAACTCTTAGAAGTCGGTTGAGATTTGGCTATTTCTACTATTAGTTCCCACTCTCACCTGGGATAAGTACGTCCAAAGGGCTTCTTTCATGAGTTGTAAGTTGTAAATTCCTGTTGAACCTTTCTTGTTTGAGTGGTGAGCTGGATGCTGTGGGGTAACAACACCTGTTATGGCCTCAAAGAACTCAGCCACCACAGACCCATTTCTCATCACGTGAATAAATAAATGCTTTTGCCCTGGCCGAGACCCCTCAGGCTGGCCCTGGGGTGGCTGCCCCGGTGGCAGGATCTGCGGTTTTAGTAAAGAACACAGATTAGGGTTTGGGAACGTCCCTTACACATCGCAGCGTTTCTCCTACACGTCCCACGTCTTCGTGTTGTCTTTACACTGAGTCCTTGAGGGAAAAGTTTATGTGGGAAGAATCTTGAGATAGACTTCCTAAATGGTTTTTCTTTCCTCAGACTATTATTGAGTGAAGTGTCGGGGAGAAAAAAAAAACACCTTTTTCTTTCCCTTCTGAAGGTCTGGGCCAGGGCTCTGTGACAAAAGACAGATTAACGAGAGAAAAGCACAAACGTTTATTTAATATGCATTTCAGGTGGTAGGGGAGTCTTTGTAAAGAAATGAAGACCTGAAGACATGGTTAAGCCCGAGCGTTATTACACTGGGTTTGATGAAAAGTGAAAAGTCGTGGGAAAATGTGACAGGACAAAGGGTATCCACTCAGTGTAGGAAAGTGGGGGACATTCAGCAAGGTCTGTTTGCTCAGCTCCTCTCTGCATCCTGCGGCATCTTCAGAGATAAGGATGCTGTTTCCTCAGGTGTAGGGAGGCCACCCTCACTGGAGAGGCTGGTGACCTGCCTTAGGGGGGAGCCAGAGAGCATCCTTGTAGCACCTGCACTTCTCACATCCCTTCGGCTTGGGTGCCCTGTTTGGAGGCATCACGTTCTGAGCCCTACCTATCAAAAGCAACTTGCAGTTTCTTACTATACATTTTATATCACTCAACTTGACTCATGCAAAAAGCCTTCGTCGAAAGCAACATCTTGCCCAGGCTGACGGTGCACCCATGGCACAGCAAATGGCCTTTTACAGATGTGTTTCCCAACTGCGAGCGAGGGAGGGACCTCCAGGCCTGCAGACATGCACCGCGCTGATCTTCTTGCTTTTCTTGCTTTTCCTTCCTTTCTCTTTGCCCAGCGCCTCTACAAAGCAGCCGGGGAGGATGCGAGACACCAGTACACGATGACCCTGGGGCTGCCCGAGTTCGTCCGAGCGAAAACAAACGCGGCCAACCTGAGTGACGTAAGCCCTTCTTGTTGCTGAAGTTCCAGCACACGCCAACGCCACGTATGTCTATGACGTGACCTAACAGTGATCCTTCTGGCGTTCACAGGAACGTGAAAGCGCGCGCACACACACACACACACACACACACACGCGCGTGTCTTTTCGATGTGCATGTTAATACACCTTTTCACAAATGTGTTGCGTTCATCACGTGTCAGAGCCCACGACGGCGACAGCAGGTGTGCGGATGAGATTTTCTTTGCAAAACAGAAAGCTCTCGCTTGTCAGAAATCGATCCTGGGACGCGGTGCTACAGAATGAAAGGGGTAGCCTTTGTTCATTGATTCATGTAATTTTTTTTTTTAAAGAAAATCTACATGTGTTTCCATTGTAGGCAAAATACAAGGAGTCTTGGCATAATCTCCGTGCTCAAGGCTACAAGCTGACAATAGACGCGCTCCCCTTCCAGGCTGCTCGGGTCTCTGGAGATATCGCCAGTGATGTGAGTGGAATGATATGACCTTCCGTCTCGCCTAATTTCTGTTAACTTCATGTAAAACCAGGTCTGCAGCTGATTTTCCTGAATTAAAGCAAGTCTCTCGCCGTGTGAGACAGGATGTCACCTGCAGAATATATTAGTTACGAATGAGATTCTCTGACGGAGGGAGGGGAAGCGAGCTTTTGTTAATCAGAAGCTAAATTCAGACAAAGGTCTCGGGCAGGAAGGAGATGGTGATTTATTTCTAATTGCGATGTCAAGGCCACTGTCCCTCTGGACCCGGGGAACTGCCTGCTTTCTCACGCCACCCAGAATTAGAGAGAAAACGCGCCAGGGAAATTGTGCTGAGCCCGAGCACGTCTCGCTCTGGGCTCTCTGCAGTTCCACACGCCGGCTGTGTGCTAGGATTTGCTGGCTGTGTGAGCCGCTCTGTTGATGGCGTCCATCGCGTTGGGACGTGAAGGTGACTTTCTCTTCCACACAAACAAGTCACAGAAAATGTGGACTTCAGATAAACGGGTCCTGTCTTTTGGGTTCCACGTTTTGCCAAGTGCGAAAGGATATATTTATTTTGAACCCTTTTTGATGAATTCCTCTTGGCCACAGGAGACGCGGGCAGTGTGGGGAGTGGGGCCCTCGCTTTGGTCCCGAGGACCTGGCTGTAATTAGAAAGGAAGAATGGGGGATGTTTTAATTGTTGGTCCCCCAGGCAGGAAGCCTGCTCCCAGGCTGGCCTCACTGGGGCTTTTCTTATAATCATCACTTCCTCCTGTCAGAACAGGTGACTTTTCTAGGGTCTGCGGTGAGAACGTGCAGGTGGGATTTCAGCAGGTGGTACGCCAGCCCCTGACCCGCGGGCCTTCTCTTCCAGTTTCTCTACAGACATGACTTTGTGAAGGAGCGAGGGAGGCTGATCGGGGCGCGGAGTGTCAGCGACGACCCCCGGCTCCGGCACTGCCGGCGGGTGGGCCAGCTGCAGAGCGAGCTCCAGTACAGGAGGCAGGCAGTGGGCAGCCAAGCACAGTACCACCTGCCCATGGACATGGTGCCCCTGGTCCACGCCAGGAAGGCCCAGGCCCTGGCCAGCGACCACGACTACAGGACACGGTGCCACGAGTTCACGGCGCTGCCCGAGGACCTGAAGATGGCCTGGGCCAAGAAAGCTCACGCCCTGCAGAGTGAGGTAGGGGCACCTGGTGGGTCAGACACCAGCTCCTGACCCTCCTCCTACCACCAAGCCTGGGTATAACTTACAATCTCTGCTCCCTCCTTAGACTGTCAGACACTCCTCCCTATGCCCAACGATGACTTGCTCAGTCTGTATTATCTGGGTTGGAGTTAGTCAATCCGTCATTCAACAAATATTTATTGAGCACCTACTATGCACTGGGCGTTATTCTAGGTGCTGGGACTACAGCAGCCAACAAAAAAAAGTCCTGTGCTCTTGGAGCTTCCATGACATGGGAGCGAGATAAAATAGGATAAGTTGAATATTTAGTGGGGTGCCTGCTGTGGAGACAAAGCTGGGAAGTGGGGTGGGAGGGCGTGATTGTGTGCATGTGTACATGCACACATGCAATGGAAGATGGGGTCATGGAAAAGGTGGCATTTGTGCAAAGAGCAAAGAGATGCTGGAAGGGAATGGAGCTCTCCAGCAAACAGAACAGCAAATTCAAAGGCTGAGCCCAGAGCAGGAGCAGCCTCAGCATATTTGAGGCCAGAGTGAAGCATGAGGGTGAGTGGGGAGGACGTCGCAGGGTCTGAGAGAGAAGAGGGGCCCAATCGTTAATGGCAGAGGTGATGGTGATGATAGAAAAGTCATGTCTCGCAGCTGACACTGACTGAGTGATCGCCGTTACTGTCACCCTCGCTACGGTGCTGGGAGGTAGGGCCCATTGTTACTCATGTTTCATTTTATTTTTTTAAATATGTTTTTATTGATTTTTTAGAGAGAGAGAAAGGGGGAGGGACACAGAGATAGAAACATCGATGAAAGAGGAATATCATCTATTGGCTGCCTCCCGTAGGCCCTCTACTGGGGATGGAGCCTGCAACCTGGGCATGTGCCCTGACTGGGAATCAAACAATCCACCTCTTGGTTCCTGGGTCGATGCCCAACCACTCAACCAACACCAGCCAGGCTCTTACCCCTGTGTTTAAGATGAGGTCACCTGGGAAGTGTCGAGGCAGGGCTGGCTCCGGAGCCCACACTTGGTACCATCCAGCCCTTCCGGAGGGAGCTCCCTGCGGGGGAGTCATGGTTCCTACAGCTCAGAGCAGGCACTGAGGCCCAGAAAGAGGAGGTCCTCTCCCAGGCAAGGGCACCAAGCAGGCTGGCAGGTAGCACCAGCCCCGCCCAGGTCAGCTCCAGTCCCAGGCGCCCTCCAAGCCTGGGGTCCTCGGTGGGGACATGGCAACGATGGTAACGTGTGGTCAGCACGTACGGGCTGTGCGCGCATTGGCTCTCTAGGCCCAGGAGGGAGGCGCTCTCATTTCAGAGCACAGCCCACGGGACTCTTGTCACATCCACCCTCATCATCCATATCGGGGTTTCTCAACTCTGGCACCTTTGATGTTTGGGGCTGGAGAATTCCTTGTCGTGGGGGCCGTCCGGCAGCATCCAGGCTTCTACCCAGTAAATACCAATAGCACCCTCCCTCCCCCAGTGTGACAGTCAAGTATGTCTGAAAATATTTCCAGATGTACCTGGGGGACAGCAGTGCTCCCCCGGGGCGGGAGGGGGGAGAAGCCAGTTCTCAGTTGAGAACTGGTCTGTATGAGGCACGCAGCACCTGTATGAGGCCCTGGTCCATGGAAAAC